TGGCTATCGTCTGAACTAAAATCTTGAAAAAAATGTTGAAAATTAAAAAATTATAGCTATTATAATTTTACTCTTATGTTTTTAGCAAAAACACAACGTCGGTTTTTGAGTGTAAAATTTTTATTTTTAAACGCATAAAAAAGTTTTAGTTCGAACGATAGCCACACTCTTGCAGATTAAGAATTCCTTTGATTTTTTGTTTCAGACGACTATAACGGCGGTAATTCATGGTCACCGTCTCTTTTCGAGGCGCTCCGGCAGGATAGGCTGCCGCGGTCCTAATAACAAATATAAATATAAATTAAAATATTTTAAGCATTCCTGAAATATAGTACAACATATAGGAAAAGTTGTGAACCAATTGGTTTGGTCGGTTTCCTTATAAAAATTCGCGAAAATCACCCCACTTTAGGCTCTGTCACACTAGCAAGACCCCTTAAATCAGTATTTGGATAATAGTGCCTTAAAGATTTTATAGCTTAATTTTTATCACATGTCAAGAAATATATAATAATTGAATAAAAGTTACAGTACATAATTGTGTAAATAATGCATTGCAAGAAAGAGATAAAAGAAGGAAGTTACAGATACAGTTAATTATTTATTGACAACATAATCGAAATATTAAATTCACCAATCATTTATGAAATGTTTTACCCAATTATTCATGTTATTACCAATGATGAAACAATATCAATAAGTGTATAATTAAACGATTTTATAAATGTGCATGAGCCTCAAAATATAAGTTCATTACTTTTGTCGGATCAGCGAATTTAATAAATAATTATTTATCTTATAACAAAATACACATTTTAATAATCGAAATTGCTAATATATTTGTATTCGTTTGATGCATCTGATATTTGATCGTCGTTACGAATTTCAGTATCCACAAAGCAACGTCTCTCTAAATAAAGAATATTTTTCTTCATAATCCAAAGTAGTAGCAGCAATAAATAATAAATATTTATTATTTAACGATATCATTTGGAATAATTGGAATCGGTAATCATTCATCCAACATTTTACACTCGATTTTATGTCACTCGATTTGATATATTAGACATATCAGATATGATCACATGCTACACAATTTAATAATAAAATACGAAATATTACGATCGTTGCGATTTAAATAAATCCCATATAAATGTAAACGTCGTCCGCTAATACAAGCGAACATCCTGCGCTTCGTAATCCGCGCTTTTTCTCGAGGCGTTTATGTCGAGTGCGACTTATTGTTCATCATAATGATCTTAAAGCGCGGTTTTCCTTGGCGTAATTAGAAAACGGTTGAACGCGTTGTTGCTCGCGGCTGGATTTCGCCGCGGCTTTACCGTAATGGAAATACAAGGCATTAATTTCATCGCGCTCTGCTCGAACGTGTTAATATCCGGGCTCATTCGGTACGTCCTTTGGAGAGGTTTCCACTTAAGTCAAATTAATTTACTATATTCGACCCACGGCGAGAATCGATCGGAATTACACGTCGGTCGCTTCTTCTATCTTATCTCGCGCGCCCATCTGTGTCTCCGGCAAAATGCAACGCTTTATTATTTGTCATATTTGTCTTAAAAAAAATTTCAATTGGGCAACGTATATTAATCTCACTGCAGGCATCGAAACAGCTGCAACGAGGCATCGGCATCGGCATCAATGTTCGATGCAATGTTGATAATTACTCGTCGCTGTATCGATCATTAGGGTTGCTTTTTTTATCAGATTATGGGAGCAGCACGGTGGAAAAGCTGACGTCGCGCGCGCGCGCGCGCCGAATCGACAGCAGTATCGCTGTTTCTCGTCGCTTTTAAGCATCTTCCACGGGAGAGAATATGGATTTCCGATACGAAACTTTTCAATCCGTTCCCAGACGATAAGAACCCGCCGAACTTACCGAGCGGATATCGCCGTACCGTTTATTGCCCGTCGGGGAGTCGCATTTAAAAATATTTTACTCGTGCCCGGTCAATACTTGCGCCCGCCGGCCGTCCAGGCCCCTTTCCGTCACGTCGATCCCATTTGCATCGCGGTAACTTACATGCAAATCTGCGTTTACGCGCTCTTTAACCCTCGTCTTCGGCCTGAAATTGCGTCATTTTTACGCATCGTTAAAACGCGAGCAGTCACCGCGTTTTCACCGAAGCTCAAGGATATCGTTTGCAGATTGCGGAATTTTTTTTTATTCAAAAGCAGAGATGGTAACCGAAATCCAATTGAAAATTGATCAAGTTTCGATCGAGGCTTACTAGTTGGACGTTATTGCTTAAATACATGTACAGATGTCCTAACGTGTCAGAAACTGACGGTATGGTGAAACATTAATCATATGCGACTCTCTCGGATTTCTATATTTAATCGTAACTAATCAATCCCCCGAGATTTATGAAGTATGGGCAACGGATAACAAACCGCGATAAGAGACTCGGTTGCATATATTGCGGATGATTCGACTGTCATATGTTATGTGCATATGTCCGTTTGTTTAAGGAGATAGAGATACCAATATTCTTTCGCATATGTGTAAAATTTAAGAACTTGATTAGCTGCGTGATTTGCAGTAATTTATAAGTAAAATTATCAACGTGATATAAGTAAGAAAAATGCCAATTTTAACAGGCAATAGATATTTTAACAATAATTATTGAATATACCAGGAAAAATTAATACCGTAATAACAATTGCGATTGTTGCGATGTAGAAATAAAACGTTTTGTAAATGAAGATTAAATGTCGGACAGTTTTAAACGAAATTTGCGAGAATTTTCTCCGTTGCATATCTATTAATTATTACGTACACGCGGATGGGATGCACTTAAAATCTAAATTAACGTAAATAAAAAATAAAATCGTGTATCTTTCCGCGCCGGTGTTACTTATTTAAATTTGCTCCCGGCGCGCGGGGGCGAAGGTGCATTATTTACTTATATTTGTGAACGATCTCCTTGGAGAGTATATTTCATATATACTTAAATTTACGGAGTTTTTAACATTGTTGCGACCTCGCGCGCGCGCGTTTCTGCTTCTTCGCGGACATTTATCCGTCGAGATAAAATAAAACTCGGCGCCGTAGACGGCAAGGTAACGAGTTTGCATTTTCCGTGGAAAATCACGACGGACAGATACCGCGCGAAATGTCATTTTCCTCCAGGAAAGATAATTCGTACGGACGCGAAAGAGAAATACGCGCGCGGAATAATCTTGACGCGATATCGGACCAATTTGAATATCGACGATCTCGTGATTTTTTTTTCTGATGCGACGATTTTTCCCCCGGAGGTAACGCCAAGCCCCAGGGACGCGCCGATTCATTTTGCATATTCTTTGGGTAAAGAGTAAAAGTGCTGCAGATTGCTCCTTACAATTTATTTGTGCTGTGAAATATATTTAACGATATAAATTTATTACTTAACTCTGCGATTTTTATGCGCATAGGAAAACTTTGCCACGTACAGAGATATGGTATATAAATATAATATAGAGATAATGTAAGCAGATACGCTACTATGGGCGAGAAAATTGTATTATTTTAACATGGTCCGCTGTTTGTAAAGTATAAAGGCGTAAAAACGGGCATAATATTCTGCAGGCTAAAAAGAAAGGGAAGTGTGTAGTGGCGCTTCACATGCGTTAGATTGCGGCATGCACTTATTAACTGTCGGAACCATCAAAGATAAAATAACGCGGTTTATATTTTCTCCCTTGCGCGCGTACATTTTTCCCTAGACAGACAAGCGCGAGATTGGAATGCCTCGTTGTACAAAGAGGTATTTCATGAATGGTTGAGAGCAACCTGCTGCCATCCGCGGAACGAAAATATTTTTGTCGAGCTGCTATAACGAGGCCCACGTGAACTCGTTACTTGAACGAGTACAAAACTCGAAGAGAAAAAGTTAACCAAATTTTTGTGCAGCTCGGAAGAGCTGCACACGAGGAAGAGAAAGAGGAAACTGCGCGCGCGAAGATTGCAACGAAATTTTTTCGATAAATTCCCATTGATTCGCGCGCGCTGTATGCACTCGTTAACGGTTTAATACTTTGGCATATTCTGGCAAGCGCTTGGATTATTTTGAGCTTTTTCAGCACTGAATAAAACCAACGGTTATATCTTTATCTATTTTGCATCAAGTGTCATGTGTCACATAAAAGCGTGGCAAACAAATGTCCCGAGGAAATCGAACGGACGCAAAGGAGTTAAGATTGAAACAAATAGCGCATCTTTTTCTCTTTTGGTAGATATATGCTGACGTTAGATAACGCGGAGCTTAGAATTCAAGGTACGTCACCCGGTTTGTCCCTACGGTCATCTTTTGATCAATGAAAAATAGAAGGTATTGTGAGAAAGTATCGGCGGAATATCAGACGTTTTGAAAGAATCGCAGGATAAATTTTTATACACATTTTATATGTGTGTGTGTGTGTGTAAAACATCTGGAGATTCAACATTTGGAAAGTATCGAGAAAGATTTATCTCTCGGACCATCGGAGAATTAAGTTGGAAATTCACGGTTCTTGTCGAACAGAGGAAGCGGATGCTTTTAATAAAAACACGCTCAATGTTTTTTTAATCACTTAGCTTCACTTCTCTGATTCAACTTGGTAGTTTTTGAATTTCTGATCGAGAGTACCTCGCGCTTCTTCAATTTGTCCAAAAGATTAGCTATTTTCGACGACTGCATATTTCAAGTTACTGCAAATTTCAGTTTACTAAATATTTCATTAAACACACTTGGTGTTTCTGCACCAACAAATGTTTACGATCTTATATACGTAAAAATTAAATTTGTTCTTGTAACTTTTCATTTAACGTAATAAAGCAAATATATTTAAGATATTCACTCCTATTTTTTAAATGAGATAAAATTTTGTTTCTTACATAAAAAGAATAAAATGTATTAAATTTTCGAATTTTTATATGACATTTATTTTTAATACGATCCATTGACACTGTTGACATTTTTGCAATTTCTCTAACGATACTGTACAACGTGTGATTTCAGATTATTCGAAGAGAACGCGGAATTGCTAAATATGTTCACGAAGTTTCGGGATCAGAAGACAAAGGAGCAGCAGTCTGCGAGCATGGAACTGGCCGAGCATGCGAAAACGGTCATGTCCACCCTCGACGAAGGTATCAAGAGCCTGGACGACATGGATGTGTTCCTGACGTACCTTCACGAGGTCGGGGCCTCTCACACGAAGATCCCCGGCTTCAACCGGCAATACTTCTGGGTAAGTCCCTCTCGAAAGGAAACGCAAATCGCCCACACGCACCCTGCATATTCATGTACAGCATAAACACGCGATGGACGTGTCCCAGATATCGAACTATTAACTAGGGAAAATAAGACATTTGTAATATGGTTGGGGAAGAAAATAGGTCAATGTGTGCCTAATTACAAGATTTACTTTAATAGACGAAGTTGCTAGTGAGAAGATGTGTATATTTGGCGAAGTAATTCGGTAAGAGATGAATTAGCTTAGATATAAGAAAGATAATGCTTTTATCTTGTCACGCGTGCACATTAGGGTATACACTTGTAAAACTATTGGTATTGATTGAGCGAGAAAATGGAAGACGACTAATTGTATTTTTACAATAGTCACGTGACTCTTCGGTAATAACGTGGTCAATTTTAGATTAGAGACTCCAAGTACTTTGGAATACTCGTATAAATTTCTAAATAAATTTTTACGTAAACAAGTCGGTTAGACTTGCTTTACACGTTAGAACATTAATAGTTTACCTCAGAATATACTCTGGGAAAGCGCGCGGGAATTCCTCACTCGTCAGAGATACGTCTCCCATCTCTTGGCGAACATTTTCTCTTTGTGCCGCGCTTATCTCTCGCCACATGGAAATCAAAGAGACTAAAGTGGAAACTTTTGGGAGACACTGCAAACTATTTCAGGACCTGTCTCCGAGCAAGAGATTTATGCACAATTAAAGTATAACGACGCTCGCGTTGTAAATATGGAACACACTTTCGTTGCGTTTTCTCATGCATGGACGTTTAACTCTTGCAATGCGTCGTTTAATTTCTTCGCACTCTTTTAGAATGGGATTATTTTACAATCTTTTTACATTTTTTTACTTATCTCACAATACGTTTGAAAACTAGTAATTCATGCCTTTTGTGTCGTTTTTACTGAAATGATTAATATCAGATGTATTGTTTAAAAATATTATAATCTTACCTGACTTACAATTAGTATATATTGAAATTTATAAAACGAAACTGGACAGGACTGGATTATTGTAAGCTCGTACTGCTAATTAAAAGTTCAATTTTATCGTCTACTTCGATTTCTCGTTCAACGTTACATTCTTTTTCATGAAATTTACTCCGTCTTGGTGCGAAGAAGAAAAATTCGTAGTAAAAGAGATTGAATAACAAATGTTGAGACTTCGGCCCCGCTACATCGCTATAACACGTCGGTATTTTGTTCTCTCATGGTCCTTCATAATCCACCGCACAGCTGGTGTCCGCCATTTGTTTGCCACGTTGCGGCCCTGCATGATGTCTAATAAGAAAAAATTCCTTTTTTAATTATCCTCGCGCTTAGCGACTCGGGAACAACTGATAAAATAATTATAAAAATTATCGTAGGGGATAAAAACATAAAAATCTCACTTTACGGTAATCGGACTTTTGCAAAATGCCATATTTTTGCTGTACAGATGTTTCTTATCACGGATAATGTTTCTGATATAAACGCATCGATATACGAGTTTTTGACAACGAAAGTGTCTTTAATAGACGCGTAGACAACGTATTTATACTGTTATTGCGACAAATATTATCACATGCCTCGATGGTCGAATTGGTGAGACGCCCGCGTAGAGTGTAGGGAGGTCCAGGTTGAAGCCCTGGCTGAGGTAATATTTTTCGCAATAAATTTTCTGTATTATTAAAAATGCCAGGCATGGCCAAGAAAACACTGACGTTGAAAATGTCTTTGTAAAATACATGAATACTATTTGGAGAGAGGCAAATTCGGAATAATACATGACTTCGATATGATTTGTGCAAACTACGGAGATGCCTGGAAGAAGGGCAGCAGTTGCTCATAGGACTTGTATCTAAATATTCCATAACTATATTTACGATACTGTTAGTCGAAAATAGTTCGGACGCAGAACACGAAAATCGATGCAATAACTGGCGTCCGAGTCGATTGTAACGCGAACATAAATCGGTACGCTGCGAAACATTAAATAATTAAACAGCACGAAACCACATTTTTGCTATGATTGAAGCGAGGAAAATCAGGGGAAATCCCGACGTTTCGTCGACGATATATAAACGAACATTACACAGTTAATCATTCGACTTGGTTGAATAAATTCTATAACTACCCATGTGCAAACAAATGTCGAATTCATTGAATTAATTAAATTTTAATGGGAGAATGCATGTTCCCAATACGATTGCATTAATATAATTGTACATGTTGAGTCAACTGGCGTTTCGTTGCATTGGGTGTATGCAATTTTCTTAATAGACTTGATATTCGTTTGAATGAAACTCTACATCAATTTTATTCGTCCAATAAATCTTCCTTCTTCATGTATCAGTAAACTCGTACATAACGCACTTGCCAACTCAATTTTCCTTAAGCAGAAGAATAAAACTAACATTTTCATAGTTTTATACTCTTGCCGGGAAGACAATAAACCACACGTAAGAATAAATTCCAGTTATAAATTTAAATAACAATTTATATTGACGGATGCGGTAAAAGGTACAAATGGTAATAAAAAGTAATAATCCACGCGGCACACGTTGAAAAGGAAAAATCGTTAAAAGAACACCCCAACGCACGTACGTAAAAGTAATAACGTTTCTCGACTTTCTCGCATATGCACGTGCGAGTTTTTATTACCTTGGCGACGATCGAAACGGAATTTTCTTTGTGCGCGTGAAAAGGAAGCCATATGCTGGGGATTCTTTCCGTGTCGCTTTATCTTTTCGCCAAAGAAAAGGAATAAAGGAATTATGTAGAAAAAGTCAAGCGAAAAAATGCCTACGAGTGTGGTTAAAAATGGAAATAGAGGGCGTTTTTTAATATTGGAGTGAAATTTCAAGATGAGAAAGCTATATTATATTTTTAGCGTTTGATACAATTCCGTAATTAAATCGTTAATCATAATGACTCGTAATACATGCGTTTTATGCGAGAGACGTTTTCCCTCGGAGTTAATCCCGATCGAGGACAATGTCGTTATTTAGTTCTTCTTAAAATGCAGCCTTCGGCACTTACGTAATTCTCAGCTCCTTTTTATATCTCTTGGATAAGGAATAAAGTCAAGTTATCTGCGCAGTGCGACGAGGGTTGAAGGTTTACATCACGGAATGTCGCATTTATTCGCAGTGTGAAACGCTTGTCCACGGTTTCAATCTCTTGGCACGAAATCAAATCTGGTTCGCCTTTCCCGTCTAAGTCCCGTGGACTTAGTCACTGTATAGGATTGATAATTCCCGTCGGACAATCCTAGGAGCTCCATTGTGAGCCGTGGATATGACGATCGCAACACAATCGTCGATTCAATCGTCAGTCCTCGCATTGTTGACGACCATAGCTGGAAATGGATCGCGGCTTAAATATACTCGCCGTATCGATATTATCTTCCTCCAAGACTCAAGTCGTAGCTTTAATTTCATCAGCGCTTAGAACATAAATTCGAAGCAAACGAACGAGAATTTTGCTAAGTATTCCTCTTCGTCTACAAGTGACGTGTCGAGTCAACTAGCGGGAGAAAAAAAAAGGAGAGTTACGAAAGTACGATATAAAATTTATTTTACACATGAAAAAAATATGTAGAACTACAAAATGAATTTGCAAAGCTAGTTTTCTCAATCCTTTTCGAAAAATGTTACAAACGGCACTTCCACTTTGGCATTACACTAAAAGTAATTGTTGAACGACGATTTTTACTTGAAACACTTTTTAATACAACTAATTGTAAGACTAATAACATACTGACATTATCTCAATTTTAATCGAGTCGCAGCAAATTTTCCAATACAGATCTCCCAAGAGCCGTTGCTCTTTTTTAATCGAATAATTGATACAATTGTTTTAAGTATACACGGGAGGACCTGAGCAGAATGGCTGTCTTGCACTCTTAAGACAATGTTTTGTGTTTTAAATATTTGTCTTAAAGTAACGCACAATAGCTGTCTTGCGTCTCAAGAGTACGAGACAGCCATTCTGCTCAGGCCCTTAGGAAAAGTACAGTGTTCTCACACGCGATCGAACGTTCTGCTTCCAGAAAATCGAGAAGCCGTTTCTGGATGCGGTGGAACGCACGCTGGAAGACCGATATTCGGAGAACGTGGAGAATATCTACAAGCTGACGATCAAGTTCATCATCGAGACGCTGATCGACGGCTTCGACAAGGCACAGAGCGACAAGGCCAAGTCCTAGTCGTCTCGAGGATCCGGCACGCACGCGATCGCCCTCGATCCTGCGAGATGTTGACCGCCCCCCCCGGATCGGCTTGGCCCCTCCGACGCCTGGAACGGGAAAAAGCCAGCCGCCGTCGATTCTTGAGAAGATGACGACGTGGACAATTGTCGTCCCTGCGTTGGTTCGCGCGGCGTCAACACGTCGCTGCTACGTTTCTCCGCCGATTACCGAGAAACGCGAAATGCGAGCGCGTGGCATTTTAACGCCGTCGCCCTCGCCGGCCTGAGATCTTTTTTTCCCCCTCGAGCGGGTCTCGCCATTAAACGTCTCCGAATATTAAGGACACGGTCCCGAGTCAGTCCTTCGGGGTCTCTTCGCAAGAAACCGCGCCATAATGCGAAGCAGAAGAGCCGCGCGGCTCTCGCTCTCGACGGTCGAAGGGTTCTCTCTTTTTATTTCTTCGATTAACGATTAATGTCGATGGAATTTTCGATTATAGACACGCGACTCTAAGTGATACGAAAGTCCCCCAAAAAACGTATGACAATGTCTAAAAGCGTTAAAAATTTTAGATCTCTTTTTAGATGTCTTTGCGACCTGTTTTTTTTTTAACAATGTCTGAGGACACATCTATTTATAAGAATGAAAATGTGACAAGAGATTCGAACTATATTTTCTTCCGTGTAACATTAAAAATTGAAATTCGTATGGCTCAAATGTGGTAAATACCCGCCCGCCTAGTAAGAGGGAGGTCCAGGTTTAAATCCTGGCTGAGGTAATATTTTTCGCAATAAATTTAATAATATGAAACATTTAGACATTAACACCCCGTCACGACTCTTGGTCCTTTATTCCTTTAAATTTGTGTTTATCACATTTGAGCCATACGAATTTTAATTTGCGCGGACGCAACATGCGTTTCTTACTTTCATTTAATTATTTGGTCGGGTGGGAGGGTAATAATGGGGATACATTGTGTGGAGGGTTGTTGTACTGTGTTTTAAGACTGACTATTTAAGTCGGCGCGCAGTTCTCGTTTACGAATATTGTCACGATAGGTGGCATTCGAGAATCAACATTAGACTGTTTATTGCGATGAATATTTCCATACGCCTCGGTGGTCGAATCGGCTGAGACGCCTTAGTAAGAGGAAGGTCCAGATTCAAACACTGGCCGAGGTAATATTTTTCGCAATAAATTTAATAATATGAAACATTTAGACATTAACACCCCGTCACGGCTCTTAGTCCTTTATTCCTTTAAAATTGAAAATTGAATTCGAATTGCAAGCCAGATACATCTTTTCAGCTCACGGGTAATTTCGCAAACGTCAATCTTAATCTAAGTTTAACTGATTCTTTGCCTCCTTCTAAAGCCAGTTTCGGGAAAGAGGCGGAGAGTAGGTTAAACTAAGATTAAAGCGTACCGACGGCAGTGAAACCAACCCGTAAGCGTTATAATTCCAAGTTTACCTGTAATCTACCGGGTGATCGACCAACGTTTTATAGTACGAACGGTGCCAAAACGCCCGTAGGAAAATTGGTCCTCTGCACAGAGAGATTCACTTTTGAAATTTACAAATATTGTGTTTTTTTATATACAAAACCTTGTCTGTGAATGGACAAATTCCGGGAGATAAAAATGCAAACATTCCGGGAATGGAATACGTGCTTTTGTGAATTTATCAAATTTTGTGAATTTATCAAATTTGTGCCATGATATCAAGTGAAAGATCTCAACTTCTACTACTATTATTTATTTGTTCCTTTGCTACAAGTTTGTTGTTTCATCTTGCGCATGAAACGTAATATGCTTTAAATGTGTTGGAACATTTTCGGGAGAAATGCTGGTTTATTCGTCGGATTCTCTTTAAACGAACGCGTCCCCCGATAACAATAGATCTCACAGAGATGAGCTCGCGTGCGTTATTTAATTTTAATTGTCGTGTCGCACGTGTACCTACAAGCAAATATCGATTTTTCGCTTCGAGTTTTTAATTTATTTTTTATATCGTCCGCTATTCCCTAGACTTCCTTTTGTTTTAATACGTTTACAGGCGCAGACTGTAAAGTGACATACGTCGTTATGTTATTTTTTTACTCACTTTCTTAACACGGGTATAAAAATGGGTAGTAATTTTCATATTTGTTTCCGAATCGAAATCACGGACGTCGTTTGTAGTCGAGACTTCATTTGCATCTGATATCATTGTCACGTTAACGAACGGTATTCTTTGGATGATGTTGCTCTCAGTCGAGAGATCATAAGGATGAGAAGCACGACGGCGAGAAATCACATAATTTCTTTTTCATTTTATAAATTTTCGAAAGAAAAATGTGACTTATAGTCGCCAGTAATGATTAAAAATAAAAACAGTTAGCTTATTGTCGGTATTCTTTGGATGATGTTGCTCTCAGTCGAGAGATCATAAGGATGAGAAGCACGACGGTGAGAAATCACATAATTTCTTTTTCATCTTATAAATTTTCGAAAGAAAAATGTGACTTATAGTCGCCAGTAATGATTAAAAATAAAAACAGTTAGCTTATTGTCAACCCAACTGGCAAATTTTATTGAATTTGTTACGTTTCGATCATACTTCAGGTTCTTTTCCAGTAACAATACAAATAAGAAAACAAGGAAAAATTCATAGACTAGTAAGTCATCGTTATCCGCAAGATAGAGTCAAAAGATAAAAGTAAGTTCAAATCGAACCTCAATAATATTCGGATATGCGCTTATTTTTATCTTTTGACTCTTACGGATGACGATGACTTACTAGTCTGTGAATTTTTCATTGTTTTCTTATTCGTATTGTCACTTGAAAAGGACCTGAAGTAAGGTCGAAACACGGGAAAATTCTTTTAAAAATCGACCAAACTGGCACAAAAAGTGATATATATTTAAGTCACAAGTTTCGACCTCTTTATAGATTTTTACGAAGTTTCGGTAACAAATGTAGTTTTCTGCGTCGGACGAGGAAGATGAGTTGTTGGTTCGCTGTACAAGTCTTCTCCCTAGTGTGGATCCACATTTTCATTAATGTAGTCGTTTCTATGCCAGTTTTATGCCAGTTAGGTTCATTTTTAACAGAATTTCCTGGGGTTTAATTACCACTGGCGGCAATAAGCCTCACTCAATAAGGTCGAAGCGTTGTAACGAACTCAATCAAATTTGCCAGTTGGATTGACAATAAGCTCAGCGTTTTAATTTTTATAAATTTTCCCATTGGATTGTAATTCACTGTACTCAGGTGAAATTAGTCGGGGCGGTTTGTCAGGGCAAAATGTTACAAATGTCGCCTACGAAATATATTCGAACATTATTCCCCCTTATTGAGATTAGGGGTGCGTTTTATTGTATTAAAATTTCCATTTGAAACTTTCGTATAAAAGTTACACGCGTAGGAAAATATATGAGAGGCAATGAAATTTCGAATTCTTCTCGCCTCGAGAGGATAGGCCGAGATAAAAGTTCTTATTGCGATGCCATTACAGGAAAATAAGGCTCGACCAACCACTAATGTTTTTCGCACACAGCGCCGTTTTAAGGGTCTATTACGGCGCAAGAACTCTCATTAACTTCTCAGGAGTGCTATAAAACCATCTAATGCGTACAGATAATGGCGATTCTTTCGTCAGGCGCATCGCCACATAATCAACTAAGAATTTACGTTATTAAGCGTGAAAGAAAAGATATTTCCGTTCATTTCCTCTTTTTTTTTCTTTTACACGCTTTTCACGCCAAAGGCCATTTGCGGATAACGATTATTCATTCCGTTAATAACGTTAAGCTGCTTTTACTCGCGTGGGATGCAAATCGCCATCCAGCTTTTGAGGCGTTTATAAATCGCATAAAATTCAATGAATCGACGTGTATCGTTGCGCGTGCCGCAAGTCGCACGCGCTTAACTGAAAGAATCGCTCGAGCCCGGATCATTTAGCACCGATCCAATGTTTGCGGAAACGGCCCGCGGTTAATTCGATGATCGCAATTCGAGTATCGAGAAGGCGGGCTTCTCCCTTTTTCCAAAAATCGGACATCGATGCCTCGCCGGCAGTTGTAATCAATATACCGCGCAAATTATCATCGATCACTTGAAATCGTATAGTCGAGTCTCGAACTGACGGATATACCGAAATAATCCGAGCTATACGCGCGAGTTTGATAATGCCGGCGATATATATCTCCCGCGGAGAGATCGCGTACTCCCTGGGCGAGCTGAATCTGCCGGCGCAAGATACGCCGGCGTTTTATACACCCGCATTAAGCCGCGAGTACGGGAGCTCGGGTTCATCGGGGATCGGTTTTCATACGCGTTTCCGACTTTGAATGCGAGCTCAATAATTGATACCAACGCGGTGGCAGCGCCGGCGGTGGCGGCCAGTCAATCGACGCTGACTGCTGCCTTTTATTCGCGGCGGCCTTGGATTACATAAGTCACGCAGGATACCCTCCCGCGATGCGAGGCCGAGTGCACGTGAATGCAAATGTCCCATTGTCTCGGAACGGGGTCGCGATGTAATCGTGAAAACGGCGTTTGACGGCGTCACCTCGCCCTGGCGAGCGTCGCACCCCTTCGGCGCCCTTGCGCGCGGTGAAAATCCGTTTGACCAATTTTCCGGAATTTGTCGCGACCTGGAACGTGACGAAAAATCGGAAAATTAGCACTCGTCACAAGGAACCCTTCCGCGCGACGTAATACGCGCTTAGACTTTGATACGTCAAAGACCAACGACTGACGGTTGACTGATGAAAGGATTAACGTGAAGTGTACTAGATGCAGTAATTGTTCGGATAATAATTAGACGGTTGAGTGTTTCGGACGAGAGAAAAAGAGGACGTATGCATTACCCCATCCGAGCTGTGCGCCGCGGCAAGAACGTATCTCCTGCTAACGATGGCCCCACCGCAAAAATGGTTTTCAATAATTGAGCGCTTCAATAATACCTGATAAGAGGATACCGGCCGTCCGGAGCACCGGCGCTCCGCAAATCGCCGACGATTCGCGTTGTCTGGCA